AAGAAGAAGAAGAAGAAGAAGAAGAAGAAGAAGAAGAAGAAGAAGAAGAAGAAGAAGAATGCTCCTTCTACCCCCCTTTTTTTTTTTAAAAAAAAAAAATTATAAAGAAACATGCTCCATGAGAAAAACGAGTCTTCTAAGATGGCCGTGTATAGATAAATTAGCTATTAATTAACTAGATTAGAAAAATAACTCAAAATTTACTTGTTAATATCATATAATATTAACTTTTTTTAATCCTCTTGCTTACTTAAAATGAGAAAAAGTTGATTATCATATGGTATATTGCTTCTTTTTATTTTTAATATATGTAGTTTGACATTTTAATTTTTAAATATATATTTTAAATGAAAATTTAACATATTATATAAATAATAATTGAAGAATTTTTTTATCAAGAAAAAATATTTGACAAAAACTTCATATAAAAAAAAACTTTTTAAATTATTATTTATATAAAAAATTAATGACTATTAATCTCAACTTAAAAAAAAAGTTCAAACTTCTATTTAGAAATTAAAATATTAATTTAAAATTTAAAAATTTAATCTGTTTTTAAATTTAAAATTAATATTTAATAAAATAAATTTTTAAATTTTATATTAAATTTTAATTAAATAAAACTACATAATTTAATGTTTAGATTTTAATTATTTTAGGAGTTGGATACTAAATATATATTTTTTTTATAAAAATTATGAAAATTTTATCAAATTTATGTTAAAAAATTAAAAAATTAAATTAAATCTATTTAAAAATAAGGACAATGATATAGTGGAGAATAAAGAGAACAAAATCATGAGACGAATGAGCCATGTCATTAATATATAAATTTTTTAAAAATTTAAATCAAGTAATTTTGATTGGTTTCTCTCTTATCTCCTTTCCGTTTCCTTTTCTTCAAAATCTCTGTCTTCCTCTCTCATCTCCCCATTTTTTTGCCAAGCTTCTCCATTGTGTGGACCTCTCCAAACTCAAGGACCAAGCTTAAACCCATCCTGGCAATCGAAACTCATAGCCGTAGTTCTAAAATTTTCAAAAAAAAAGAAAAGAAAAGAAAAGAAAAGAAAAATTAAACCCTGTTTAGCAGGAGCCCAAAATCTATACTCAAGACTTTGCAAAGGGGATGAGAAAAATAGAACAGATGATGAAGATTTAGAAGAGAGTTTGGATTTGAATGAAACCATAACAAAGAAAAAATCATAGAACAAGATGGAGAGAATGTGTGAAGAAAATGAGTACGTAGATCTTATTTAATATTTATTAAAATATATGGTAAGGTGGCATATCACTTCATAATTATTCCGTTAAATCGTCTCATTTTTTTTTGTTTTTCTCATCATTATTTTAAAAATAAACAATATATAATTAACTTTAAATCATTTTCCTTAGTGAAACAATTTATCCCTACATTTGCTTTAATTGGAGTGAATCGATCCCTATCCCAATGCAGATTGAAGACTTTCGACCGTCCACGATTCTCAATCTAGTTCTCCTCCGGGCGTAAAATATAAGCAGCTTCAAACAAGGTAGTTCATAATTTAATATAAGAGCCATTATAAACACACCTCATAAATTCTGCTTCACCTGTCAACCTCACAATTTTTCTTTTTATTAATTATTTATTATATATTAATTATATTAAATTTTATCTAATCTAAAATCAAATCAACTAATACTTTACTAATTCTTTATAAAAAAAACCTGTCACGACCCGATTTTTTCATTCCTAAAAAGTGAAAATCGAGTTCTCCTTCCAGTCAAAGCCACAGCTCCTTGACCTGTCACCAGTCACCCCCACAATATCCTAACGTCTGATTCACTCCATGTAACTATATTTACGCGTGTCCTTCTCTCTACCCTTTCACCCAATTCTCTTACAAAAAATTCACAGCACTCCTCTCCTCTGTCATCACACATGGATTCGCCTCCTCCACACTCCGACTTCATGGCCAAACGCCTCTGCCCTTCCTCCCAGAACCAAGGCCGCCGCCGCCGCCGCCGCCGTCCCAGATGGTCCAGCCCCTTCATTCCTTTCCCTCCATGTCGGACTCTCCCTCCCTCTCCGTCGATCTCTCCTTCGATCGCCACCTCGAGTCCAGCTCCTCAGACTCCGATCAATCGCTCCTCATCGACCTTGCGCCCATCCTCGGTTCTCTTCTGCTAAACGCCGCCGTTCACAATTCCTACGCATGGCCTCTCATTGACGACCTCACCATCAAGGTACTTCAGTTCTCATCATTTCGATGAACAGTTTTGGTATTTGGATCGTGTTATGTGATGATGTTGGTTTGGGATGAGATTCCTTGCAGGTGTTTTCAATGCTGGATACGCAGAGTTTGTACTATGCTGCAGCGACGTGTTCCTTGTTCAAAAAAAGTGCAATGGAACGCCAACATTGATTTAACGGCGGTTGTGCCTAAGGTTAACGATGCGGTTGTGTCTACCATGATCCAACTAGCTCGAAAAAAACTTCAGTAAGAAACTTATATCAAGAATCTGATAGCTCCATTCATGCTTGAATAGTTGATTATTTAATTGTCAGATTAATTTCATGCTTGCCTTTAATTTTAATTTCTACATTGTGGATAGGATTCATGCATTGTTTATTGTTTATAATTCTGTAATTAATTTGAGTTGGTTTGCAATAATGGTTTAGAGAAAAAAATTAGTAATTTATTCTTGGATTATGACTTGGTATCATAGAAGCCAGGGTAGCTAACTTATTTTCTTCTTTAGCCACTGTTTAATTTGCTTTGTATTTGCAGTTTCATATGTTTGTTTCTTTTATTAGAAATTTATATCTAACTTCTATTTCTTAAATGAACATTCGGGTCTCTTAAACTTGTTGTTGCACCAGGCCGGACTGCATCTCCTGGTTCTGGTGAACTGCCAGTGTATACTTTCTGAAATTCTGTAGATGTATGTGACTATTCACTTTTTTGGCCAAAAGTATCCAACTTTTCATGGAATGATAAAAAAGACCAGACAAGGGAAGGAATTATCCATCCTTACTAGGTCCTGTTTGAACCCATTAAGTGAGGACAATGGTGCCGCTGGGTATGGTTCAAAACCATGATTTGTTGTAAGTTTAATGTCTAATAGATGGTTTGATCTTTATTTTATGCTTTTTCATTTTATTAGGGCTCTTCTTAGAAGGTTGCACCTTTACAATATTGAAAGAATGGATAATACATCACTTTGTGTGGCATTATCAGCCTGCCCAAATCTACTTGATTTGAAGATTGTGGGCCTGTAAGTTTCTCTGAGCTGGCTTTTTGTTTTTGTTCTTTTTGGTTTGATTGAGATGTCAGGACAGAGCTCATTACTGCTGATGAATGATGTAATCCATAATACAAGTTGCTTCTCAATATGGAAAGACATATATGGACTCATAGACATAACATACACATGTTTTGTAAATTGCACCAGCTGAGAGTATAGCATTCTCAAGCTAAATTAACGGTTTGAAGGTTTCTTTTTACTGAATTATCAAATTTTCTGATTCTTCTTCTGGCTTGCTTGGCAATTGTCCGGTTGTCAATGATAATGTTAATTTGCAGCATTGTCATCCCTTTTCTGTTTTCCTTTTACTTCTTGAAATTGGAAGGATATTATTGTGGATACAATACATTTTTCTCTTTATGGATTTTGAATTAACAACCTTATAGTTTGAGATTCTAAGCAACATCCTCACCCCCAACCCCCATCCTTCTTTTTTCCTGGGGGCAGTCATGTTGAATTGGGGCCAACTTTGATGTCTGTGATTGCGAGTTGTCACTTGATAGAGCATTTGTTCTTTGAGTCTTCCAAAAAAGTTGTGGCATCTTCTTCATGGGTATTTCTCCTTTAATATTCTAAGATATTCTTCTCACTATTTAATGTCTAAAGCAGGGAGAGATGATAGCTTGAAATCCCGAACCTGTGTTGATTTAGTGAACAATTTGTCCAAATCTTACTTCATTGTCGCTTAGAGGTTTTAAGCTGCATGACTATAAAGTTCAAATACTAGTTAAGGTTTGTGTCTGAGCTATTGGGATACAATTATTTTGTTAAAATTCCTTGACTTGTTAAGTATCTCTTTATTGTGAAAATTTTTTATCAGAGTTCATGTCTAGAACCTGTATGCCAATTTTATTTAAAATCTAATTGCTGCTTTGGATGATGCTTCTAATTATGGATGTGTGTGTGTATTGTCAATATTAGTTTTCTCTTCTCTCATATTCTTTGAAAATGGGTTTTCTGAAAATTTTTTGCAGGAGTTCATGTCTTCACTAACTCGTAAGCTTATTATCAAATTCAAGTTAAAATTTAGGTGCTGCTTTTGCAATTTGGATGATGCTCCTAATTGAATTCTATAGTGTCAATATTGGCTTGCTCTTCTTTCATATTCTTGGAAAGTGAAGTTTCAGGGAAACCTCACTGGAAAATGCTTTTCATTGGATTTGCAAAATTGCACCTGAAGGGGATATATGATGAAATGAGCTATATACGAAATCTTTTTGCACAGTCAAAGGTTTGATGAGTTCACTTGATAGTTTGAAAACCAGATTTTTCATAACATGTATGCCTGATAAATTAAACTCATGGTTTCTATTCTATGAAGATAGAAATTTATGTTCCAGTACATGTTCTACAAGCAGAATGTGTATTTTCCCCTTCAGTTAATTTGCTTTGTAGTACATGTAGATTATCTGTCCATCTTAATTTCAATTTTTGATTGACGGATGCTTTTTCACTGAATCACTAGAATATTTAGTTCTGATATTCCTTTTATGGTTTTGTGTGAACTAAACTTGATTAAACCGCATACTCCTGATTTCTGCTGCATGGACTCCGTAAACTAAAATATGCTGATTTTAGTGGTAGTGAGGAGTTTCGAGGTCCTATTGGTGATGATGATGAGGAAGGAAAGCACCAAGAATGACATCCCAAGGAACTATGCAAGCACTCCTTGGCAAATGGAGACTATGAATGCCAACTGTACCGAGTTGAGGGACAAAATGAATGCCATTGATGCCAAGTTTGAACGACTTTGTGGAACCATGAATGAGTTATTTCGAGGTGTCCAAGTGATCAAAAATCATATCTTGCCTCCACTGCCACTGGATGTCTAGCCATTCCGTCTTTCATGTTTATTCCATTTATTTATCATGTTGTATGACTGTTGTATACAAGTCGACGTTGGATCTTGTTTATGTTTATGTTTTTAAGTTAGGTACATTTGGATGGTCTTATCTATTCGATTATATTATGGAACCTGCGGACCGATATTTTTGATGTTTTTGACAGTGTTTTTGGGCCCAGCCCGGCCTGGCCCGGTTGGTTGAACCAACTGAACAGGACCCGGGCTTGAAAACGGGTCGGGTCAGTACCTTAACCCGTTTTGCGAGTTCACTCGTTTTGGTCCGTTGGTACTCGCCCAACCCGTTGAAACTGCGTAACCTGTTGGGCTGAATGAATTTGGGTTTTTACTTTTTAATGATTTAATATTAATTAAATTAATTTATTTGATTTTTAATATAATTAGTTAATTACCCACATCATTGACTTTAATTAAAAATTAAAATTGCACGTTAATTAAAAAAACAACTCTCAGAGGATTAGATCTACTTATTTGCTATTTCACTACAAATTGCAAAAGCAAACCCAAAAGAAATTAGAAACAAAAGAGAGCAGGGGAAGAGAAGAATAGCACCACTCGATCACTAGTACCACGCACCAGTCATCACTGTCGGCCTTTCCCTGCCTGATCTTAGCCAGAAATCGTGAACTTGCTGCTCGCTCGTGGCCTCCATCTGCGGCTTCCAGTCCTTTGTCTTTGTAGAAGCAAAACTAGAAAGCAAGCCCTTCATCTCTATGCAGAAGCAGCCGGAAAGCAAAAAGAAAATAGAGCAGGGAAGTCACAGGCAGCCAATTGCCTCCTCGATCTCAACCATCGATGACTCCACAACTGCCTCCCCGGATCTCGACCCTTCACCGCTGCCCTTCCTCTTCGTCTTCCATTGACAGAATAGATTTGCATTTGCATCTGCCTTGGGTGTAAAAATGTAGAAAATAAAAAAAAGGTTTTTAGTCAACTGATTAAACTGGTTGGGTGAACTGGTTCAACCGGTTGAACCAGATTCGATAGTCAAAACGAGTCAACCACTGGACCGGATACAAAAACATTGGTTTCTGATGTTGTGGCCACTATTTGGGATCAATATATTATATATGGTTGTTTTGTCGCTTGTTTGATCAAAGTTTAATGTTGAGATTTATGGTTTGGGTGGTTATGTTGTTGATTACGTATTTATGTATCGTGATTTGATGCTCTTTGATGTTGACGAAAAAGGGGCAATGATTGTGTTCGGGAATGTGGATTTAAGTTGATTTAGTTTAATATGAATTTTCTGGATATATTTTGAGTTATAATTAAAGTTTACGGAGATTGCACTTTTGATGTACCGAAATGGAAAGATTATACACATATATATTGAACTTTGATGCATGTATTGAATTGGATGCGTGTATAGAGACTATGAACTTTTGGTGTTGAACTTTGATATCTCATTAAAAGGGGTTGTGCTCTTTAGGCTTTTTCTTAAAACTTAATGTTGAGGGTAAGTGTTGCTTCTTGAATATGCAATATGACAAAGATAATTTGTTATTTTTAATGCGTGAAATTTAGTGTAGGTTTTTATTATAAAAAATTAAAGATTGTTTAAACTCTTTATGGATAATACTAAAACTATGAAAAGTTATTTAATGAATTAAATTTAAGTGTGCATGTGTATATTAAAAAACACCAACAAAATTAATAGGAATATTCAAAATTTAGGTTGAAGAGTCAACTTTTAACATTAAGCAGAGAAAAGTTGATGTGGGTGCTTTGGCCAACAAAATTAATTAGAAAAGGTCAAAAAAGTTGGTCGATTTTGAAAGTTAAATATGTACATGCATTGTAGAAAAGACTAACAAAGTTAATTGAAAAAATTAAAAATTTAAATTGAAGAGTCAAATTTATAATATTACGTTTAAATCAGTTAATGTATTTGTTTCGGTTATTGATGAGATAGTAGAGGTGGACTAACTATTAAATTTTGAATTTAAATTTGAATGCGATGTTTATGGATGCATTATATAATTTGATTTTACATTTCTACACATTTAATGAATATATACATGTAGCATATTAGCTCAATTCTTGTAATTTTTTTTGTACCAATGAAATTCTCTCTCCCTCAAACGATG